TGTGGCCCGTTTAACACGATTGCTCGTCTGAAAGTCCATACCCAGCGGCTCGTGGTCCTTTAGGTGTTGGCGCAAAATAATCGGTATATAAGCTCTTGAGTTCAACTAACTAATCGATTGGATTCAATCTTTTAATGTGGTTCAGCCCAAGTGTCTTATTGCCCAATCCAGTCATCCACACCTAATCCTAAATTCTATCAGAATGTATGAACACAAACATTCGTGTAACAAAGTTTTTTAAGCTTACTGCTCTGATTTTTAATTTAGTCTACTAAAATAATATTAAAAAAATATATACAATAGAATTTATATTTTTAAAAATAACTTTAAATAATCAATAAACTTTATCGGTTTTAGTTCTAATCGGTTTTGAATATTATCGTTTTCGGGTTTTATCGGTTTTGAGTATTATCAGTTTGAGATTTAATCGGTTTCGGGTTTAATTGGCTCGGATATGATCGGTTTTGGGTCTAATCGGTTTTATATTTAAATCGGATATGAATTATTTAGTTCGGTTTCGGTTTGATTCGGATCATTTCGGATTTTCGATTATAGATCGAATCTTTATTTTTCAGATCACTTCGATTTTGATTTCGGATAATTTGGTTCGAGTAATCAGTTTTGGTTCTGTTTTGCCAGGTCTAGCTATATCTTAGATTGGGAGTAAGACCACATCATGGGTTGTTGAAGACGTGCTCGCCATCACTCAATGAAAACCTTGGAACAATCAAATGGAACCAATGGTGCGACACCCCTAGAATGAAATATATCATCACCAATTGAAATCCCAAGATTGGATGAAGTACAACTTGGAACTAATATACTATCTTTTCGAGCATATGAACCTATGGTGACAAATTGGATTATTAATATCACTGCAACTAAGTTCCAATTTGGAGCTATTTGTGTCACGACAACAAAAAGCTAGCAAATTGGTTTGGGGTAGATGAACTTTTTTTGGGTTAAAAAAAGGAATGAATGCACCAATTGATACGATAAACGTATCAAACATGAGAAAAGATTAAGAATCGGAGAAGTAGAAACATTGGGAGATGAGGTGAACGATCAACATATGAGAAAGGAGATCAATTAGGCTTTAGGAAAATAATTTCTTTATTGATTGAAATTCCTAGAAGATGAGTACTTAATATATATTCCAAAATCCTAAAACACTTCAAACTTTAAAAGGTGACTAATTAAAAGAAGAAACTAATTAATAGCCTAACAGTAAAAATGCTCCCAAATAATAATAGTAATAATAATAATAATAAACCATAAATGATAATCCTACCTAATAATAATTAACTAACCAAACATTAATAATACTCTGTAATAATAATAAATATAGTCTCGTAAAACTCACTGCCATATCCGCGTTTCAAGACTCTTGTGTCCAATTCAAGATTCCTCTAGTTTCACATGGATTAGCATGACTGAGATGTAAGACAATAATAATAGTAATCTTAGTTTTGGTAGTATTAGTATATGAGTCAACTTCTAGTATTAGGTTGAATCATAATTATGTCAGGATTGCTCCTTATTTTTTGAGTTGTGTTATTATAGTTTTAAGGTCAACATTTGGAATATGGACCTTGTTACATATTTTTATGGCTTGTAGTTGGATCTCTTTTGTTTTACAAAAGCTCAATAAATTTAATTATTTCATGTCTCAAGGTTCACATAATTAATATGGACCTAAGGACCACAAAAGAATTTACCTATTTTCTTTGAAAATATCTATTATTCTATTATTCAACAAATTTTACTTTGTTCAATTTTCCTATCACTGTATGTTCCAAAAAACAGTGTGACCAATTAAGAGGTGCTTTTTAATATTTTACTCATTATATTTTCATGTAAAATAAATAATGTTATAAATTTTACTTCCTCTGTCTTGTAAAATTAAACTTTTTTCAACTTTCTCATCTTACATGTTGCATAAAGTATTTTAATTTAACCTAAATGAACACAATGACCCTTTTTAAAAATCTAACCGAGTCTACCCCAAGTATTTCTTACGCCCTATCTATTTTCACATTGCTTGAGCCCTACTTGTTTCAATTATTATCGTTTCACCTTAGTCAAACTTCTACACTTTCCCTTCCTAAAAGTCTAAGAAGAAAATGTTTTTCAGAAAGGAGGAAGTAATTTTTTAAAACAAAAAAATAATACTCCGTAATTAATCCTTTTGCATTGATATCATTGATTGAGTCATGAATAACTTATTTGCGAATGGTACATGTATAATAGAGTGCACACAAACAAAATCACACGCAGCTTGGCCACGCATATCATAATTATTGCAATATTGCATTGCTTGTTACTATCCTATATAATAATGCTAATGTGGGGAATGTATATATGATTAAGTGAAATAATGAACTCTTAATTGTGAATGGAAACTAATAAGTCCGTTTGGGAAACTAATTTGGCCGCTCAATACATTTTCTACGTGTGTACGTATGGACCCTAAATAGTAAGGGATAGATGTCCTAATTGTTAAATGTGATTCAAATCAATTGACGCATAAGCCAATAATCAAGGGAGTCATTATGTATGTGGTGCAAGTTGGGTGCATCATCCATTGCACCATGCAAGTGACGTGACCACAATTATTATATTTTTCTCATACTCCCTCCGTCGACAAATAAACTTTACATTGCGCGTTACGATGTTTGACTGAAGTTATTTTCAAATCATTTTATATGAAAAATGGTGTAGAAATGAAAAATAAAAATTACATATTAAAAAACTATATCAAAAGATCTACAAAACTAGAGGTGACATGACTATATTATTTTATCAAATGGGTGACGAAAATAGGCTAACAAAGTGAATAAAGTTTGACCCTGTGAATAGTGAATGTAAAGTTTATTTGTGGATGGAGGGAGTATTTTTGTTTGTTACTTTTGTCATATATTATAAAAATATAATATTTCAAAACTACGTTTTGAATGAAACTATATATAAAATTTAATTCACAATTCAATATGTTTTTTCCGTAATTTACGGCCAAAATTTAAAAACATTAACCATAAAAGTCAAAATGACAAGAAAAATATGAAAGGAAGGACTAGAACGGTATTAAATTGTTGTTATTACTTTGGTTTTTAGAATACTTTCTCTTTCATTTTTCTTCCATTTCTCGAAAATACTTTTATTTTCTATTAAAAAACCATTTTTATCCATACCTTTTTATCCTACCTATCACATTATACTTTTTTTTATTAATAATCTACTTATCAGATTTTATTTTTACCTATTACATCAAGGACAAAATTGAAAAAACAACCATAAATATACACTCGTTATATTGGCCTAAAGTCAAAATAGGAATGATTTAAGAACGAAAAGGGAGTAATTTATTGTTTTCGAAGTAATCGTTTGATCAGTCCTATTCTCCTATAGGCCTAGGAACATTTATACCCTTTATTTCTCATAATTTGGTCAATGTTATCACAACCATGCTACACTTACATCAAAAAGTGTATCGCAAAGTTACACTAAAAGTACACACTAACATTTTGATGGTTTACACTCATACAAAATGATGGTACGTTAATATAAATTTGTACTAACATTTTGTGTCTGTGTGAACTCTTACCCTAACATTACACTGACACATAATGAAGATGCAAACTTGCGTTGTACAAATTGGGGTACAAATCTTGGGGTATAAATAGTTAATTCATGTTATCAATAGGGAGATGTTCTTCGCTTTTAAATACTCCCTCCATTCAAAAAATTATCTCCCCGTTGCGCGTTACGATGTCCGACTCAAGATAATTTCAAATCATTTTATATGAAAAATGATGCAGATTTTTTTTTTTTTGAACAAATACACATATTATTAAACAAACCATGTCCCACAACCAGTACAACACCAAGCCATACATCAGGCCAACAACAACATACTACCAACTGCCAATATCATTTTGCACCTCTCTGGTAAATCTGCAGTCACAGAGCATATGATCTCTATCTTCAATTGCGTTCATACAGAGAACACAATTAAGGTCAACATCCATAACTTGCTAAGCCTGACTTTGGTGGGAACTCTATTTAGAAATCATCCTAAATAGGACTAAAACATTGAAAAAAGTACCAAAATAGGACTTTCATGTTTTTTTCCCGGAATAGGACTTTGCACTGTGGTAATGTGACTTTGCATTGTGGTAATGTGGCAGTGTACATGTGCAAATTACTATACTTTTTTGGTAATGTATATGACCAAGTTTGGTAATGTAAGTCATATTTCGGGAATAAAAACATGGAAGTCCTATTTTGGTATATTTTTAATGTTTTAGTCATAGTTTGGTCTTTCTCCCAACTCTATTCCTCTACTTAACCCATAAAATATCCTTTTTATTCGATATATCCCAAATGAGTATTTGATTACATGCATAGTTCCAGTTACATAGGTTCTTAAACCCTAGCCCTCCATTCTTCTTTGGTTTGCAACATTCCTCCGAACTGATTGGGGGAGCTCTAGTACAACCCCACAGGAGATTTATACAAATGTTATGAATGGTTTGCATCACTACTTTACTTGGGATGATGAAGAGTCTACACCAGAATTTGATCACTCCAAACAAAACTGTATTAATGAGTTTGCATCTTCATGCATATGATAAATTTTTTGATGCCCAAGTAGTGATTTTACTCACCATATCTTCACATTCCCTAGCAATGATTCTGCTATCCGTAATGGGCCCACCTAAGTATTTGAAAGGTTGTTTCCCTTTATTCATAATAGTCATTTTAAATATTTCCACTTCTTCATGCTTATGCATTCATCCTACTACCATCTAGGACTTAGAGTAGTTAACCTCTAATCATGATGTGGTAGTCCTAAAATGATCAAGACAATCAAGTATAGTTTGAACAAATTCCTTATCTGCTTTACATACCACAATCAAATCATCAACAAACGCCAAATTAATAATCTTAAGAGCTTTACACATAAGATGATATTGGAATTTATTCTTATTGGAATATACCTTCAATGCCCTAGTCAAATATTCCATGATCAGAGTGAAAATGAGGGGAGACATAGGATCCCCGTGTCTGATTCCTTTGCCTTCATTAAAAAACCCAACATTTTCTCCATTCAACATTATAGAACAGGATGTGCTAGAAATAAAAAAATTTACCCAATCAATGTACCTACTTGGGAATCGCATGGCCTCCATGATTCCTTTTATGACTTTTCAGCTTAAATAGTCATATGCTTTCTTAAGATCAGTCTTCAGCAAACACTTAGGAGATATCCTTTTCCTATTATATCCCCTATCAAGTTCATGGCATAAGAGAACATTGTGCACTAGCTCCCTCTCCTCTATAAATACCCCTTGGTTTGGATTGATAATAGCTGGTAGAACCTTCTTCAGTTTGGAGCTCAGTATTTATGAAATAATTATCTTATACATGACATTGCAAAAAGAAATTTGTCTAAAATTAGTCGGGGACATAAGAGATTCGTTCTTTAGGATAAGAATAATATTCCTCTTTCTTTTTTTTGGAAATTTTTTGTGGCTCACGTTTTTTCTCTCCCCTGAATCACTTTTAACTACATAAGACTAAAACATAATGACTTTCTCAATATAGGACCATATGTTTTTATTTCCCTATGTAGGACTATTGGTCATTATCTATTAGTCATTATTCAACTAAATGTCCAGCATCACTTGGACATTATTCTTCTCACTCGTCATTGTTAAGTCCTATTTAGGAAATAAAAAAGTTTAAGTCTTAGATTGGGAAATGACTTATCTTTTGGTCCTATTCAGTGCAAATTTCACTTACTAGAAACCATCTTGGATGTGAATGTTCTTTTGAATTTAATATCAAGATATATCAAATCTTAATTAACTCATAGAAACTTAGGGCACTAGCGATGATTGTAAATATTTGTAACGTCCGGGGGTGTCATTGTCATTTTAATGCGTGAGGGTTAAAATCTCTCTTCTTCAAATTAAAAAAATAATACACACACACAATATATCTCTCTGGCTTCTTCAATTTTTTTCTTCTTTTTTTTATCATGAATGTTTTCAGATTTAATGCTCCTTTGTTCGGTCTCGATCCAAATGAACAACCGAATACAATTTGCTTTCGAGAGAAGATAGAACGAGAATAAAGCTAAATATAAATTACTTTAGGTTTTTAATTAGTGTAATTTTTTAATTAATATTTCTTTTTAATTTAATGAATTATTATCGCTTAAATTTAATTAATTAATGATCTTTTATTAATTTAATTTTATAAAATGTGTATTAAAAAATTAAAAAAGTTAAGGTTTGAAGCCCCAGGGCTTCATACCCATTTCTAGTAAACTGTGAGATAAGTTAAATCTGACGCGACAGAGAGAGAAATTTTGAAGCTCGGTTTGAAATCCCGGGACTTCAGAGGTACTTCCAGTGCTCTTAGATTTTGATATATGGAAATATTGGAAACTAACCGATCAAACGAAATGGATCCATAAAATGGAGTTCATCGGTCGATGTTTTTTGTTTTTATTGAATAAAAATTAAAGAGGAAAATTGAGAAAACAAAATTAGTGAAAGGAAGCAAGAAAATTTGGAATGATCCTCTCACTCAATTTCTGGGAAGGATCAGCAGCAGCAGCAAGCAGCAGAGGGGTGTAAGTGTAACAACAACGCTGCACCATCGCCGGGGACCACACCCTTTTGTGTATCTTTCTTTCCATCTCCTAAAATCAAAATAGAAAAATGACTTTTGTACTGAGAATGGCAAATATGCACAGCTCAAACCTCTCCCTTTAAATACCATAAATTGTAGGCCGGTGCACGTAGTTCATCATTACTATTCTCGAAATGGATTTCAATCTCACTACTACCGTCTCTAGATAATTTTTAATTTTTTTTTATTTATTCTTATAGATAATTTAATAAAATAAAATATTCATCACTTTTTGTTTTATACGGAGTAGAATTTTTATATACTTTTAAACGGTCTAATTTATATTTTTTTATTTGTATTTTAATTTGTAATTAAAATGATTGATTCTAAAAACAATGATACTTTGCATGTTGTTCAGAGTGTGACATTCAATATGGGGCGGGAGGAATACAATTTTTTGAAAATTGAACCAGATGTTGACTCGAACAAGCGAGTGGGTTAAGAGTTACTCCCTTCGTCCGAAATTAAAGTTCCCATTCTACGCTTTTCTCCGTCCGGAAATAAAGTTCCCATTCTACGTTTTCATACCCACTTTTCCTAAAATACCCCTTCTCCTCCTTTCTTTCTTCCTCTTTTCTTTTTTCTTTCTCTCCTCGTTCTTTCTCTCTTCCCCCTCCCCCTTCTATTTTTTCTTCTCCCAATTTTCTTCTTCTTCATTTCTTCCTCCTCTCCTTTTCCTTCTTTCTCCCTTTCTTTTCTCGGCAAAATCACGCCATCAACTTCTCTCACTCCCCCCCTCTTTTTCT